TCAGACCACTTTGACTAAATTCCACACTCGGAACACTCGAACGGCTTTTCTCCTGAGTGAATTTCTTACTGTTCCACACTCGGAACACTCGAACGGCTTTTCTTGAACTTCAAGATGCACACTCACTCGAACGGCTTTTCTCCTGAGTGAACCCTCGTGTGTCTTTTTCACTAAACCTTTTTCCACACTCGGAACACTCGAACGGCTTTTCTCCTGAGTGAACCCTCTGGTGTTTCTTCAGAGAACCGGAACCTTTTTCCACACTCGGAACACTCGAACGGCTTTTCTCCTGAGTGAACCTCTGGGTGTCTTCAGAGTTCTTTTCGGAACACTATTTTCTCCTGTGAATTAAAACACACTCGGAACACTCTTTTCTCCTGAGTGAACCCTCTGGTGTGTCTTTCACCCTTTGCTCGGAACACTCGAACGGTTTCTCCGAGTGAACCTCTGGTGTGTCTTCAGTTCACACAACCCCACACTTCGAACGGCTTTTCTCCCTGAACCCTTGGTGTGTCTTCAGAGAACCACTTTCACTAAACCTTTTTCCACACTCGGAACACTCGAACGGCTTTTCTCCTGAGTGAACCCTCTGGTGTGTCTTCAGAACTACTTACACTAACCTTTCCCCACACTCGGAACACTCGAACGGCTTTTCTCCTGAGTGAACCCTCTGGTGTGTCTTCGACCACTTTCACTAAAACCTTTTCCACACTCGGAACACTCGAACGGCTTTTCTCCTGAGTGAATCCTCTTGGTGTTTCTTCAGAGAACCACTTTCACTAAACCTTTTTCCACACTCGGAACACTCGAACGGCTTTTCTCCTGAGTGAACCCTCTGGTGTGTCTTCAGAGAACCACTTACACTAACCTTTTTCCACACTCGAACACTCGAACGGCCTTTCGTCTGGTAGAATTCTTTGGGTTTCCTTCTGCTTATCACTGTCTGCAAATCTGTTCCTACTCTCAGAACACTCCAACAATTTTTTTCCACTGTGTATTAACACATGTTGATTTAGGATATCAGAACATTCACACTTGTAATCACAAACTGAACACTCAATATTATATTCATCGGATGCTGGCGAACGCAGTGTCTCATGAGACGCCTTTTCCGGGAATTGCGGCGCCTCTTCTCGCAAACACTGCTTGGTTGAGCCACTACTGCTGCTGTTCCTCGCGTGGAGCAAATTGGCGGCGTGTAAGTGTGAACACGCTTTCTGCACACTTTTAGATGACGCGTTAGATAATCTTTCGAGCTGTAGACTAAGCCACACCATTCGCACTGCCGATCTGAAAGACGTAAAACCATCATTATATGTGTATTTATTTACATATATATATTTCAATATACATGTTATTATATATATACACACACACACACGGTGTATGCAAATGTATGTATGTATATGTTATATATACATATATATATCTATATATATATAATATATATATATGTATATGTATATATATATATGGTGTGTGTGTGTGTGCGTGTGTGTGTGTGTGTGTATTTAATACATTTGATGTTATAGAGTGCAGACACATATGTACACACATCTAATACACTATTTTATACTTACAATATCAATTTATATATCTCAATTGTATTCCAACAATTTCTGAATACATTTTCCCTTCACAATGGGAAATTAGGTTATGAAAATTGTATTTGCGTACCTTTTACATCTTTCTTCGCTGGTTTCCACTTGGACGGCTCTCTTGACAGACCCAGATCCTTCCCGTAATCGTCTCCGTACCAGCACATCAACTCGCTCCCCCTGTTCACAATTATTTTGGCATTGTTTGTCTGTATCTTTAAATATTAATGTGCACGTTATCACAGGCGTATGATCAGGAAAAGTTGACTTCACTACAATTATACTGACCTGCTAATTGCAGAGTCCGTCTTGTAGTAGATCTGCCCCTTGTACTGAAATGTAGATAGGTTGGTCTCAGCTTCAGTTCTTGAACAGTTGACGTAACGCATCCAGTTACTAACTGCACTGTCTACAGCATCAATGCACGTATTCCTTGTTCCAGTACCTCGAATCTGGAAGTACACGAAGGTGAAGAAATTTTCAACTTTTTGCGTAAGTAGATTTTCTCTTAAAATACTTGGTGGTTTACAGAAAACCCAAAAAATCATTCAGTGTTACATTCATCTAATATCATATGTTTTACGCCACAGAATACACTAACCTTCCAGCCATAGCCAGATTCTTTACCGGCTTCCGGATGGCCAGATAGGACACGGCCCTCATACGGACCAAACACAAGGGCTGGGAGATGAGCATTGGTCCACACGCCTTTTCCTGCCCCCTTCACTTTCGAGTCGCAGACAGTGAGGGGCCAAGGGGTTGTGAGGCGAGCACGATCTTTCTCGCTGCCGTCTCGAACAACCTGTCCAAACATACCATTGGGACGATAACGCTATTTAAAACTGCGTGTGCATTGTGTATCTAAGATTATCAGTTTTGTGTGACCAGTTCAATTTTCAATCTAACCAAAGTTATGAGAGCATGACATTTTATGTTCGACATGAATGGCACACTTACGGGGTTATCTAGAATAAGGAACAATGGATGGTACGGACACTCTCCCTCTTTCTCTTCTTCACAGTCTGCGCAATCTGCAGACAAAACAAATCATGGTATCTGAATCTATCTACCTCATGTGCAATCGTAAGTGCACAACTATTGTATATAATTTAAGTAAGTGAAGTGAAATTAATCCAAGATTATAAAATCCACACAACGACAACTAGGAAGATGACTCAAACGCTCTTTTCCTTACAAATAAAATCGTCATCTTTAGTAATGCTTTCTTCATAAAACAGCTTCCTTCTGCTACGACGTCGTGGGTACCGCGTCTTGGACTTCTCTCCCGAAAAACAGCTGTTTCCCCGACCCTCTTCATCTGATCCTACACCAAGTGTTTCACTCTCAGCTGGAAGCTCTTTCACTGTTACCATCTCTGTATCTGTTGCCAACTGTGACATGGGAACTGAAAAGACCCCCTTGTCCTCTGGCTTAACATTTTCCGCAGCGGAATCTCCACTTGACCTGTCGGCTGTTGTTGGCATTATCTGGAAAATTCAAGAATATTTAAAGATCATTTCTTCATTTGTAATAAAGAATAAATATTTTAGAATGAGCTTGGCGACGCTGCAAATAATCAATAATTTTATATCATTTCTAAATAAACTGTTTTGACAATCCTGATATAATTCTTATACACGAGAAGATATTGGTTATTAGTCTGCACAACTACCCAGCGACAAAGTCGCACTAATAGTTAAAACTGTTTTGCAACATTTATGTTCCAGGACTCATGCATTTCTATGTCCAGACAGAAATAGAAGCGGACACGGAATCTGGATAAAAAAGGGAGAAGTGCATCACGCAAAAACAGACAAAGGCACGAAGACAAACCTTGACAGTGCCCTTTGCACCTGCCACCAACTTGGCTGGAGTCCATAACGGTATAACATCTACTTGGTCTACACTGAGCGGCGCATCATCGTAGTTCTCACTCCTTCGGTCCAAGCTGGAGCACTCCACTCTGCCTTCCTCTTAAGACGCCTCTTCTTCCACCGCCCACGCTTCCACTTTTGCTCGCATACCTGCAACAACAATTAATCTCCATTATATAAGCTTCCTAAAAATTGTGCACGCGTCCTCATTCCCTATGCCCAGTGGAATCCTCGCCCTACCTGCTAGATCTCTCCTTCTCGGGCGTCCACTCGTCGTCTCCCTCGTCGTCGGGGACTCGAGGTGGCCTGGCTGTGGGCGCGACGAGCCCGTTGCGTCGCCTCCTCTGTTGTCGCACGACGAACTCCGGGACCTTGGGGTCCAGTCCTGAAAGTGCGCCGCAGTTGTTTAAGAGACTTTGGAGAGGAAATGTGTATGGGCCGGTGATGAAGGAAATCCCAGGATCCAGTGAAGCATTTTGGTAAAACCATGATTATAATATTTGAAACTGGAAGAATCTAAATGACTTTGTTTAGGAGTCTTTGCATTTTGCACAAGCGCATGCGCGCGTTTCAGATGTATATCTAGATGTCTGCGCATAAGATTTTGTGTGGGGAAGGGGGTATGTGTGCATATGAATGAAGAACAATAATTGCATAAATACCACATGTATTCACAACTACGATTTTCCAGGCAATGTATTTGCTAACCCTCCGCTTTCATAACCAACGAGTCTTACATGGATGGAAAAGCCTTCGAGATCATCGTGTTTCCTTTACCTTCTCTTGGCTTACTCTCTACATTTCCTTTTGCACAATTTCTTCTGCCTCTCGGCGCTCCAACAAAAGCTAATACACCACCACTTTTTTCTACAAAGATGGAGCTCGTAAAGGGCATCGGGGGTTGAGTCCATGCAAATCACAGGCTAGTTTATTCCCCTGTAGCTATTAGCGTGTTAATGATTCTTACCGTCGTTTCAGTCTTTTCTCAAGCGGTGGAGGTGGGGGGGGGGGGGTGAATGAAGTGAGCGATGCGAGCCCCAGACCAAAAAAAAATGAAAACGAGCTATTCTGGGAGTATTATAAAGGGACTACCAGAGCAAATTTAGGCAAAAAATATCATGGGAGTGTGGCCGGGGGGGGGGGGGCCAGACCTAGAGGGGGTCAAAGAGAGATTTAGGGGTAATTTACCCCCCCCCCCCATGACGCCCCTTTTGCAGTTTATATTCAATTCAATCCAATGGTTTCCGTGTCAAGAGCTTTTCTTTGTTTTAACAATGAATTTCCTTTTCAGTGGATGCCTTTGTCTCCTTTTAAGAACTGACACGTCTCTACGGCCTCACTCCAGAAAATAATCCGATTCCGCTCAATATCCGACGAGAGTGAAACGGACATTCGCAGCGACACAACTCACCAAAGTCTTTCATCGCTTTGTAGTTCCTCAGGATATTCTCGAAGCGATTCTTCTCGATCTCCGGGAAGGAGAGCCATTCCTCCGTCGAAAACAGTTGCTTTGCGTCCTCAGCCATCGCCCTTTTGCGGCCGAGAAGTCTGAATGTTCCCCGAACCCAGCGTCGAATGGTCGAACGGATGCCGAGGCTGTCAGACTGAGCTGATTTGCGCGGGTCCTGGGCCTGCCTGGGGCCGTGACGTCATCATGACGTTTTGTTTTGGTCACAACCATGAATTCTAGTCTTCATAAGCATGGTTTATTATCTTTAATTGTGATAAAATAAAGCAATTAGACAAAGAAGGCCCTTCGTCATAAGATACTTCTTGATTTTTGTTGTTGAAGAAGTTTAGGCCGCTCAGCTGCGAGAGCATGACGTCACGACCAAACCGTTCGCGAGAATCCGCCTTAATAAGATTTCCCGCCAAAAAATCATCGCGTTCATGATCGCTTTTACATTCAAAGAAGCGAGTCGTTACTTGAACTGGGATTAGCACTGATATTTTCTGTCATCAGAACAAAACAAGGAAATTACAAACTACGTCTGTACGACTACAAAAAGAGCCCAACGCTATCAAAAATATATAAAGGCGTGAGGCAGGGCAGCCCAGCTGACTATTTCGTAACGCTTTAGTCTTTTGTTTATACTTTTGCAGACCTTCTTTGGTCATTCTTGAATTCCAAATCTATGTTAAAGGAATTTTTATCAGAAACGGGATTACTGTCTAAATATTTCACATAATTCAACCTATTTAAGTAAAAGTAAAGGCACGACAGGGTTAACCTAAATGCTACTCTTCGTTACAGATGTGATTTTTACCTCATATTTATCTATTCGGTGTCTATAATAGATGATTAATTACAATGATTAATATTAGGTTTGTAATATATGCGACCACATGCATGTGTTACTATTAATCTAAAAATGTTAATGCTAAAATGACATTTTATTCGAGCCAAGCATCGTTATTTCAAACAATATATGTATTACATTGTATATTTTAGATATTGATAAAGGCGGTACTATCTTTCTTTAGATAACTGACTATGATGTTTAGTTTACAATTGATTTGATGTCCAGTTTTCTTTTTCATTCCTTTCGTATGCTATCAAACGAGCATGTTCAGAATCCTTAAAGATATACGTATATGATTATACTGACCAAAAAAAAATCCACTTTAATTCTCAGTTGTCCGTTAAATGTTTAGATATTTATGTTTTCTCATGTTATTCTTTTATTATTATTAGTAGTAGTAGTAGTTTCTTATCTCGCGTTCATTTCCATGCATATTAGACACGCTATATATAATTACTCAGAAAATAAAGAAACAACGCGAGGAATTAAGGTTAGCCAAACTTTTTTTTTTACGCGGGTCCTGGGCCTGCCTGGGCCCGTGACGTCATCATGACGTTTTGTTTTTGTCACAACCATGAATTCTAGTCTTCATAAGCATAGATTTTTATCTTTCATTTTTGATAAAATAAAGCAATTAGACCAAGAAGGCCCCTCGTCATAAGATACGCCTTGATTTTTGTTGTTGAAGAAGTTTAAGGCGCTCAGCTGCGAGAGCATGACGTCACGACCAAACCGTTCGCGAGAATCCGCCTTAATAAGATTTCCCGCCAAAAATCATCGCGTTCATGATCGCTTTTACATTTCAAAGAAGCGAGTCGTTACTTGAACTGGGATTAGTACTGATATTTTCAGGGGGGGGGGAGCCAGACCAGAGGGGGTCAAAGAGAGATTTAGGGGGTAACCCCCCCCCCCATGACGCCTCTTTTTGCAGTTTATATTCAATTCAATCCAATGGTTTCCGTGTCAAGAGCTTTTCTTTGTTTTAACAATGAATTTCCTTTTCAGTGGATGCCTTTGTCTCCTTTTAAGAACTGACACGTCTCTACGGCCTCACTCCAGAAAATAATCCGATTCCGCTCAATATCCGACGAGAGTGAAACGGACATTCGCAGCGACACAACTCACCAAAGTCTTTCATCGCTTTGTAGTTCCTCAGGATATTCTCGAAGCGATTCTTCTCGATCTCCGGGAAGGAGAGCCATTCCTCCGTCGAAAACAGTTGCTTTGCGTCCTCAGCCATCGCCCTTTTGCGGCCGAGAAGTCTGAATGTTCCCGAACCCAGCGTCGAATGGTCGAACGGATGCCGAGGCTGTCAGACTGAGCTGATTTGCGCGGTCTGGGCCTGCCTGGGCCGTGACGTCATCATGACGTTTTGTTTTGGTCACAACCATGAATTCTAGCCTTCATAAGTATGGATTATTATCTTTAATTGTGATAAAATAAAGCAATTAGACAAAGAAGGCCCCTCGTCATAAGATACCTTGATTTTTGTTGTTGAAGAAGTTTAGGCCGCTCAGCTGCGAGAGCATGACGTCACGACCAAACCGTTCGCGAGAATCCGCCTTAAGATTTCCCGCCAAAAATCATTGTTTAAATGTCTTTTCATTCTTGAATTCTCAGAAGCGGTTTACCTGACTTATCTATTCGGTGTCTATAATAGATAATTAATTACAATGATTAATATTAGGTTTGTAATATATGCGACCACATGTGTTACTATTAACC